TACAGATATGAGACCCACATCCAGTATCTAGTACCCATGATGAAGATATAGACATGTTAACTTCTATAACATACACCTCAGAAGAAATGGTCGTACCTTCCTTCTTCTTGGTTGCGAGGTATGTCTTGCAGTTTCTCCTCCAGTGGCCTGCCTTACCACAGTGATGACATTTGCCCTTTGCAATCCCTCCTACGGGTTTTTGGGTTGCAGATGAAGTGGACTTTGATTTAGGCTTTCCGACCGTCCTAGCCTTAATCTTAATCCCCTTCTTCGGCTTCCCCTTTCCGCCTTGGACCATAAGGACGGAAGTACCCTTGCCCTTAGTAAGGTTCTCCTCTGCAGTCTGGAGCATTTTAAGAATCTCCGGAAGGGGTTTTTCAAGATCATGCATCATGTAGTTCATGACAAAATCCTTATATAGCTCAGGGAGCGACTGCAGGATCTGGTCCGTTGCCAGCTCCTTCTACAAGGAAAACCCGAGTTTCTCTAGATTGGTTATGTAACCAATCATTTTGAGAACGTGCGGACTGGCCGGGTTCCCTGAAGAGAGCTTGCAACTAAACAGAGCCTTACTCACGAGAAAACGTTCATGCCTGGATTGTCCCTGGTATAGCTGCCGCAAGGCCACGATCATCTCGTGGGCCTTCATGTCCTCGTGCTGCTTTTGCAGCTCGGTTATCATGGTAGCCAGCATGACACAGCTAACCTGGTTGTCATCCTTAACGTGTTTCTCGTAGGCATCTTTAACCGCTTTCGGGGCGTTAGCGGGAGGGGCAGGAGGAATGGGCTTTTCGAGCACATACTCTTTCTCATCCATGCAGAGAACAATGGAGAGATTGCGTTGCCAGTCAACAAAGTTTGTTCCGTTCAATTTGTCTTTATCGAGAATGGAACGCAGGGCGAGGTTGTTTGTGTTGTTGTTTGCCATCTACAGAATTTTGCGAAGATAGTTATTATCATGAATTAAGTATCTAATAGGTCTTTATTAAATACTCTCCCACTATTTCTAACAAGTCAATTACCCTCAGGTACGGAACCTATTTACTTGGGGTTTCTTCCTGAAAAGAATACCCTAGCGGGCCAAGATCCATATTTTACTTAACTATAGTTGTGCTTTGCATCTTTCCCTACAGTCAAGTTATTTAGGTAGGAATTCATTCCAATTGCAATCGTTATTACAACTCTTGGTTCGGTGGATTCTTTTAAATAAAATTCTTAATTGGGCCAGATCCATATTTCATTTAACTATAGTTGTGCTTTGCATCTTGCCCTACAGTTAAATTATTTCTGGTAGGAAATAAACTCCAATTGTAACAAGTTACAACTCTTGTTGGATGATCTGATTTTATTTATTGATCCTACCGCAGTGCCCTAAGTCTCTCATCCATATGACCAAGACTTAGTTAAGACTAACCCGGGGCGAGTCAGTACCCTAGTTACGGGTTTCGCGCCTAACCAACGTAAACCGGGCGTCTCACTTGGGTGAGTCCGTTACCGATCTAAATTGGGTTTGACGAGTGACGGGGCG